TTCCCCAGCGATAGGAATCCTGGGTAGGGTGTCAAGGTTCCTGTGTCCTCCCCAAGCCCTCAAGAAACTTTTTCAATTGCCTACATTGTTTCCGACTGCAGAACTATATATAATCCAAATAAAATCATGGACATTAAAATTTTGTTCCATAACAGTAATAATTGCCAATGTGTTCTATGAATTAATCAACAACAAATATTTTTTTCTAAATTATGACGTCATCGATGACGTAAGTAAGTACAAAAAGTGCAAAAAAAATTAAAATAATTTTGTTGTACTAATTTTTTATACAGGGTGTTAATAAATAGTGGTCTGTGAATAGTTAGTTTTCAAGATACAGGGTGTTAAATTTTGAAATAAAATCGATTTTTTAGCTCAAAAATCCCTTTTTCAAATTTTGGCAGGTTTGTTTGTGATGACAAAAGGTATATCTTTTGAGTTTTCACTGTATGTTGTATATGACTTTATCTGCAAAAATATCAAAGTTATAAAAAAATAGTGACATTCCATTTTTTTGTACTTTTACTAACGTAGTGGTCCTTTGGGACGCCACTGGAATAATTATGGTGAATCTAATTGAATCAATAGAAGAATATATTATTAACCGCAGTGAAGTTGGCAGCCAATTTTTAGCAGCCAATCTGCCGAAAAAACCCGAATCACCAGTGCCGTGCGTTTTTTTTTTTAAATTAACAATTTCAATCAATAAATGAAATATTAATAGTTATTTATACACCAAGTGAGTTAAATGAGTGTTTATTGATGAGAAGAAGGTTTAACCCACGAGCCCTAGCGAGTGGGTTAATTTTCTTTGAATGAATAAATATTTTAACTCACGTGATGTATATAAAATTTTATCCCATTTTGTGGATATTTAAAAAATAAAGTACAAGGAAAAATGTCGAGAGTGATTTAAAAATATTTTAACTCACTGAGGTTTCAGATTTTTAGTTAGGCAGAGTGACTTAAAATGCCGAGAGTTAGTTAAAAAAAATCACTGAGGTGATAAACGTCTACTTACCTTTATTTTTATGCGTTCAATAATGTCATTTTTAAACGTCAAAATGGGATAAAATAAAATAATACACAGTATAATTAAGACTGATGGTTTTATAAATATTTTAGCATTTTGAAATTCTCCTTTGTACTAAACACAAGGTAGGCGTAAGTATTCTATTGAAATTATTGTTATAATAGAGTTGTGTTTTCTTATTTGATCCGAAATCACTGAAAATTGTATGTGGGGGTGGCTTAGGGGTGAAACCCAATGAAATCTAGTTTGTTAAAAGACATATAATATTGTTTTTCTCATCTAATTGATCCGTAGCCACTGAAAACTGTATGTAGGATTATTACACGGCCCTGCAAAAAAAATTGGAGAACAGTAAAATATTCAGAAAATCATCTCTAATAATCCTACATACAGTTTTCAGTGGCTACGGATCAATTAGATGAGAAAAACAATATTATATGTCTTAAAACAAACTAGATTTTATTGGATTTCAGCCCTAAGCCACCCCCACATACAATTTTCAGTTATTTCGGATCAAATAAGAAAACACAACTCTATTATAACAATAATTTCAATAGAATACTTACGCCTACCTTGTGTTTAGTACAAAGGAGAATTTCAAAATGCTAAAATATTTATAAAACCATCAGTCTTAATTATACTGTGTATTATTTTATTTTTTTGTAAAAACATTTCATTTATTGATTGAAATTGATAATTTAAAAAAAAAAAACGCACGGCACTGGTGATTCGGGTGTTTCCGGAAGATTGGCTGCTAAACATTGGCTGCCAACTTCACTGCGGTATATTATTACAAACAAATTTGCCAAGTTTAAAGAAATTCGGGAAACAAATTTTGAAAAACCGATTTTTTCAAACATTGACACCCTGTATTTCGAAAACTAAGCATTTGTGGACCTATGTTTCAATCAACTTTTTTCTTTTTTTAATGAGTAGGTACTATTCAGTGGCGGCTCGTCAGAGGAGGCAGAGGAGGCTAAACCTCCCCCAAAAAATTGGGTAAATTCAATTTCAATTTTTTATTCTAATTAAAATAATAATTACACAACAGAATTCCAATTTTCGATATTCCAATGTAATTTTAAAAAATCTGACAGAATTATTTCAATCAATCCCGTGCCCTTATGACAAAAATCTGTGAATCTGGGATACTCAGTAATTCCGGCCCGAAGGGCCAGAGTTATATGCGAGCCCGAAGGGCCGGAGTTATACTCGAATCCGGCCCGAAGGGCCGGAGTTATACGCGAACCCGGCCCGAAGGGCCGGAGTTATACGTGAGCCCGAAGGGCTAGAGTTATTTTAATCACGGGGCTCAGTCTATATATTCAGCGGATAATTTAGAGCCAATTAAAAACCAGGATTATTTAAAATGCGATTTTTAGCGTCCGATCAAAGAGCCGGAAATATTCAAAAACTTTAGTTTTATCAAATTGACTTTGGAATGTTGGTTTTCCTAAGATTTTTATTTTTTTCAGAAAACGGTGGTTTTCGCAAACATATACTACTTTATCGTTGTCTTTGTCTTACTCACTATAATCAATAAGGAAACCTTGTAATGTCATTTTCATCGAAATTAAACTAAAAACAAGTTTCCTATGATTCATTTGGGAAATTTTAATTATTATAATCATTATTAATTAATTATTAAATTGAATTTTAAACAAAAAACCCTTTTAAAATGTTATTTTTGTTTTCCGAAATGAGATGTGGCAACGTTGCTTTTGGTTGGCCATTTTGAAGGAACGCCTTGTGATTTTTTGCCAGTTTTTCCTCGAATTTTTCACTTTTCCGGGGCTTTTCAATGGAAAAAGGCGATTTAACATACGAGGCTTCGAGTTTTCTTCATCTTCTAGCAAAAATGTCCAGTTTTAAAATGACATAAATAACAAAATCCCATTTAAAATGGTTTTTTTAAAAGTTTTGATGTGACAACACCGTTTGTACCAACTTCAAATAGGTTCTGTAATAAATGTCATTTGACAGTCGGCAATTTTTAATTAACGTGTTCATATTTCTATCCAGTTTTTCCTCGAATTTTCCGCTTTTCCAGGCCGTTTTCAGTCAAGAAAACCAATTAGAAATACGAGGCTTTGAATTTCCTACATTTTGTGCTAAAAATTCCCAGTTTTCCAATGGGGTAAGTGACAAAAACTCAAATTTCATTAAGTAGGCTTTGGAATGTCATTTTTAGAGGTTTTTCTTTAGATTTGTCCGCTTTTCCAGGGCTTTTGTGGTCGGAAAAACCGATTTAAAGTACGAGGCTTTAAGTTTTATTCATTTTTTAGTAAAAATTTCTAGTTTTAAATGCCATAATTAGCAAAATCCCATTTAAAATGCTTTTGACGTGGCAACATCGCTTGTGGCTGTCGGCCATTTTCAATTGACGTGTTTACATTTTTATTCAGTTTTTCTTCGAATTTCCACTTTTCCGGGGCTTTTCCAGTCGAGAAAACTGATTTAAAGTACGAGACTTTGAGTTTTCTTCATTTTCCACCAAAAATTTCCAGTGTTTTAAAGGGGTAAGTGAGAAAAACTTTAGTTTTATCAAGTAGGTTTTGGAATGTCATTTTCGTTGTTTTTTTTTTTTGGAATTTTTATTTAAAGTTTTTGGGGTCCGGCGAACGTTTTCTACCACTTTTTTTCTCAAAATTCGCAAAATATGACGTTGACAGCTGTCAATTTTTTTTTACACAAATCGATAGTTGGCGTCGCGAAACTGCCTTTTACCGGGGTTTGATTTTCGTAGTTTTTATAATAGAGCGGGGAAAAAGTCGAACATGTGTCAAATTTGACAGGTGACATCTGTCGATATTGATGACAAAAGTTTTATCCGAACGAACCCGTTTATTGTTAATTGATTTTTCATACTCCGGCCCTTCGGGCCGTAATCTTTGAAACAAAAAGACGTCATTTTGTATCGATTGTCAAAAAACCCCAAGGTTTGAAATTTCAATTTTTTGACGTTTGTTGTATCATGAGCAGTGTTGCCATATGTTTTTTTTTTCAAATCTAGAAATAGAATATTATGATAAATTCCCTTCCCCCGAAGCAAAAAGTTTCTCATGAGGGGCGGCAAAACAAGCTCTTGCACGAGGGCGGCCAAAGAGCTAGAACCGGCCCTGACATTGGAGAAAACTAAAACTCGGAATATCAACTATAAATCACATTTTGAATATTCCCGATTTTTGATTGCCTCCAAATTATTCACCCAAATTATCCACTGACCAATAGAATTATAGACTGTGCCCCGTAATTAAAATAACTTTAGCCCTTCGGGCTCGTGTATAACTCCGGCCCTTCGGGCTCGCGTATAACTCCGGCCCTTCGCGCTCGTATTACTCCGGCCCTTCGGGCTCGCATATAACTCCGGCCCTTTGGGCCGGAATTACTGAGTATCCCAGATTCACAGATTTTTGTCGTGAGGGCACGGGATTGATTGAAATAATGTTGTCAGATTTTTCTAAATTACATTGAAATATCGAAAATTGGAATTCTGTTGTGTAATTTGTGAATTATTATTTTAATTAGAAATGAGGAGTAAAAAACTGAGATTGAATTTTCAAGTTTTTGAGAGAGGCTTAGCTGAAAATTTGTATACAAGTTGGTCAAAATCCCAGAAAAACTTGTAAGATCTACTCAAAATCACTGAAAATCTTTTAGCCTCCTCACTTGAAATAGTCACGAGCCGCCACTGCCTAGAAGTTTGATCCCATTATTTATTAACACCCTGTATAAGTGTAAGGTAGTGCTATGGTGGGATGCCGAATAGGAGTGCTAATTTTTGCTTGTTGGGTGTTTAGCACCCCCCCTAGTTGCGCCTATGTTCTGGGGTTTACTCGCCCCAAGTTTGCAGGGAACAGATACATGGTGCAACAAACACTTTATGAAAAGAATAAGCACGTGAAGCCCCGGAGCTGTTCCGGAGCTCCTCATAGGTGTGAAAGGAATACAACTATTGCTATTTTACCAGTGAAGCTGCCCCAAACGCTGTCCGCTTGCATATTTTGTTCGGTTTCCTCTTTAATGTCCAGCGCTTTGTCGATAGTTTTTTGGGCCTCCTTCAGGGCCGATTTCGCTATGTTGGCAAGGGCTCCTGCGTCGAACCAACTCATTTTTGAGCATTATTTTATATTGGGGGGGCCCCTTTTTTTTAATTTGAATTCAAATAAATATAGGGCCTTGTTTTTCTTTGTTGACGTTTGCAATATTGTTTCTCTGTCTAATTGAATATATAAGACAAGGACGTAGATATAGTATTGATTTTAGGCAAACAGCTGATTGCAGCTTGACGTTTTATTTTTTCAAGTGGCGCCATCTATTAGCAAAACTTATTAGTGTATTTTATCTCTTTCTTATACTAGCTAATAGTAAAAGACTTCACTATAATATGAAACAAGATATGTTTTACTACACAAAAATTATCAATATTTGTATTAAGGCAAATAATTATTAATAAAATAAAAATCAAAAATCGTCTCTAGAACTAATAGAACATCAGAGATTTATCCTAACAAGCTCTAGTGGCGCAATTGGTTAGCGCACGGTACTTATAAGACAGTAGTCGTGAGCGATGCCGGGGTTGTGAGTTCGAGCCTCACCTAGAGCATATTTTTTTTTTTTTTTTAATTTTTTAATTACAAAATCAATTAACAATAATAATTTTATCAATCCGAAAAGTTTCTTGGGACATAAATGACCTCCTGGAATTATCAAAATTATCCATTAAAAAAAGTGTATTGATTCCCTGTAATGTAATATCAGCTAACTTCACCTTCAAAGTAGGCCTTGGACGGCCATTTTGAAATTGTGTTTTTTCAATAAAAATGGCCGTAGTAGGTTTTTTTCAGTGCGGAAAAGTGTTTTATAGTGCGATGGAATTTTCCATAATGGACACGTTAATTTTTAAATAAAATGACATTTTTCTCAGCATTATTATGGTAAGTCAAATTTTGTCTATATTCCCGGTTCTCGAATTTGTTGAAATAAAGAGATTTCAAGGGTCTGGAATAGGAAAAAACACGAATAATTTTATCTGTATTTTTTAAATTTTTGGAACAAATCTTAAGCTCCTCACCACGCCAAATCACTCCAGAGCTGTTTTCTCGCGGTGGAACTGGTTCGATCCGGCATGATTAGATTCGAACTTGTACTTTCTTGCGTTGAACCAGTGACGTCACATTTATCCAATTTTGTAGGTTATGTTTGCGTGATTTCGTTCCAATCGACATTTTTTACTCAAATTCTGTTTATTGTTGCCTCTAGAACACTAAATCTGGATCCAGTGTAGGTTTTTTTATGTTCTAAACTAATCAGGCAACGTTAACAATTATTCCATTTGGCCTGAGATTCTAGTTTTAGTGCACTAAATTTAACTCTGTTTACTCGTACTATTGTTTTAGAGTAAATAGAGTAGGTTTATTCATTAATTCTTTATACTCAAACAAAAACAGTAAATTCAAAGATCCATTAAATTTTTTCAAAATTTTGTACGGAATCGGTTCTAATTGAATAAAGATCAAAAAAGAATAAACAGAGTAGTTCAGTTTAGTTTTTTTTCCAAATTCGAAACAGCAATTGAAACAATCAGAACACTAAAAATAAGTTATGAACCAGTTCTTAATGGATCTTACTCCGTTTGACTGAACTGGGAGCACACCAATTACTGATTGAAGTTTTGCTGTTCGGCACTTTTTTGCTCCAAATTCACTTGTAAACGCCTTTTTTACTCCAAAGTAAAAGAATATACTGCTCCGCTTCAACTAACTGTCAAAATATTATATGGCCCCCTATGTTAATGACGTCACCATTAGTATTAAAAAATCAAAAATATTACCCCGGAATAGTTTTCAATTGTGTTTTTTTTTTCCTTCAGAGTATTTTTGTCTATTCAAACAACCAAAAAACTTGACAAATCTGTTCGGAGTAAAAAATTAATACTTGAAGTAAGTTAAATAGAGTTAAGTCAAGTTAGTTCGAAGAGATCAAAAAAGTCAGTGCACTTAGAACAGTCGGAGTAGAATTACCAAAACACCAAAATTGATTTTAAAATCAACCTCCAATAAATAGAACTTTATTCGACATTCGACCGATAAACATTCTCGTTACAAGGCGTGATGACGTCACCTGCATACCTAACAAAAACCGTTTCAAACTTAAAAATGCACCCGCAAAATACAATTAAAGGCCAATTTTGTCACTTTTGATAAAAATTTTGAAATAAATATCTTTGTTAAGAGTATACATGATGACGTCACCTGCAGACCGAACAAAAACCGTTTGAAATTAAAAAATGCACTCGTAATTTTATCACTTTTAATCAAAATTTTGTAATAGATATACTTGTTACAAGGCCACCTTACATGATGACGTCACCTGCAGACCTAACAAAAACCGTTTGAAACCCAAAATGCGATGGAATAAATGAACTTAATTTAATTTTTATTGGAAACGGCAAATCCAGAATACTGAAGATTGTTCGATATCAAACAAGGAGTATGTTCAATGTGTTCCAGAACACTGGATTTTTTCATTGTGAACTAGTTCAAGTTTTCGTTTTGAACAGAAATGTGATCCCGGTGACGTCATCATGAAACCCTATGAAAAGTCTATTTGAAGACGTTATAAATATCTGCACTTTTTCCTCTAAAGTGCTCCGATTGGATATTTTAATCTTACTCCATTTATTTTGAGAACAAACAGGGTCAAAAAAAGTACAATTTTCAAACGGGCGATGACGTCATCAATTTTTTTTATATAGATTCTATTTGAATTTGTTGTAAATATTTGTATTTTCCACTGCAAAGTTTTCCGATTGTATATTTCAATCTTGCTCCGTTTGACTGAACTGAGAGCACTCTAATTACTACAGTAAGTTTTGCTGTTCGCACTTTTTTGCTTCAGGTTCATTGGTAAACTTTGCTCCTTTTACTCTGGAGTGAACAAAAAATTATTCCGCTTCAATTAACTGTCAAAACCTTTGTTGATGACGTCACCGTCAGTACTGATAAATTAAAAATATTTTATTGAAAGTTTCATATTTTCGCCCCGGAGTAGTTTTCGATTGTGCAGGCTCTTCTTTTTTTTTTTTCGAAACATCAAAAAACTTAACAACTCCGTTCGGAGTAAAAAACTAATACTTAGAGTAATTTAAATCAAGTTATCACAAATGGAACAGAGTTAGAACAATCAAGATAGTTCGGACAGTTGAACAGATTAAAAAGATTCAGCGCACTTGGAATCGTCAGAAGTTTATTCGACCAATAAATATCCTTGTTACAAGGTACGATGACGTCATCTGCAGACCTAACACAAACCGTTCAAAACCCAAAATGCACCCGTAAAACACAGCGACAAGCCACTTTTAATCAAAATCTTGAAGTAAATATACTTGTTACAAGACAATTTTCCATGATGACGTCACTTGCAGACCCAACAAAAACCGTCATCATCAATTTAATTTTTATTGAAAACGGCAAAACCAGAACACTGAAGTTTGCTCGATATCAAAAAACGAGTATTTTTAATATGTTCCAGAACACTGGATTTTTTTATCGTGAACTGGTTCAAGTTTTTATTCGATTACGAACGAGTTCGGAACAGGTTTTAAGTTTTTAAATTCTCTTTGCACTGCGAACAAAGAACAGTAAATTCAAAGATCCATTAGAGTTTTTCAAAATTTTGTCCGGAATCGGTTCTAATTGAATAACGATGAAAAAAGAGTAAACTCAATGTGCTCCAGAGTAGTTCAGTTTAGTTTTTTTTCAAAATTCGAAACAGCAATTGAAGCAGTCAGAACACTAAAAATAAGTTCTGAAATGATCTGGAACCGGTTCTTAATGAAAAATGTTACTCGATTTACTTTGAAAACAAATAGAGTTAAAAAGTGTACAATTTTTGAACAGAAGTTTATTCCCAATGACGTCATCATAAAACCCGATAAATAGAATTCTACTCGAGTAAAGCCGTGGTAAATAGTTTTTACTCTAAAGTGCTCCGAATCAATATTAGGCGATTTTATTAATTTAAATATAGAAATTGAACTCCTCTTTTTACTCTAAAATAAAAATTAAATTAAGCTCACTCACCCCATTACATTTTGGGTTTGAAACGGTTTTTGTTAAGTCTGCAGGTGACGTCATCATGAAGGGTGGCTTTGTAACAAGTTTATTTATTTCAAAATTTTGATTAAAAGTGACAAAATTACGAGTGCATTAATTTCAAACGGTTTTTGTTCGGTCTGCAAATGACGTCATCATGTATACTCTCAACAAAGATATTTATTTCAAAATTTTGATCAAACAAAAGTGACAAAATTATTGTGTTTTGCGGGTGCATTTTTAAGTTTGAAACGGTTTTTGTTAGGTATGCAGGTGACGTCATCATGCCTTGTAACAAGGACGTTTATCGGTCGAATGCGTTTTATCTCTGTTTTTCACGGGCTGAAAGAAAGAGATGGAAATACATTCAGTGCACATGAAATGTTTCAATTGACAAAGAAGTTAAACTTTCATATTTTTTTGACAAGTTTGACGTTCTTGAGGTGTGCGTATTACTAATTGAAAAATTGAATAATAATATGACAAATGTCGTTCAACAATAATTATCGTCCGTCTCTATCAAGCTTGAACAAAAGTACCAACGTTGGGTGAATAATTATTGTGATCAACGAATGACGTCATTAATTAAAAGTGCCATTTGACACTTCGTCCATCCGAAATCTATGACGTCACCAATTATGTGTCAAATTTGAATTTTGATAATCAAAGCAAAAAGTAGGCGAATAATTTCAAGATTGACATTAGAACTTTGACAGTTGCAGTGCGGGTGACAAATGACATTTGACACATACTGATAAAAATAAGTTCATGGAATAATATTCGACATATGGAATGTATGACGTCATTAATTAAATTTGATTCTCGATATGTCAAAAAATATAATAAACAAACAATGACGTCGATTAATTAAAAATGACACAACGTAAGTGGGCCATCGTTTAGGAAAATGAGTTATAATTTTGACAAGTGACATCTGTCAAATAAAATCATTTGTTTAATCAATTTGCCTACAATATCGCTATCTCACTTGTTTGAGTTCACTGGCAATTGTCGATCCAAGCAACAATTTGATTTCGTACCAAAAACTGTCAAACGTCATTTGAATAGATGGCCGTTAATAAGGACACCT